GTTCATTTTTTCACCTCAGTTTTTCTAACCGAAAGATGTGGCTTTATTATTAAATAACAGATTTCTGATTTTAGTTACTATGCCAGCATGGCAACAATTTATGGAAAATCCAAATGAAATGTGACTTAATGCTCCTTTCCGTCACAAGATTGGAGTTCAACAACAGCAACAATGACAACTTGCATTTATATAGTGCCCTTCAAGCCGGGCAGTGTCTCTGGAACGCTGTTCAGTACAGACACAGCAATGACACTGAATATTATTGTTTCACCTACTAAATACAGCTTGACAGGGGACTGGACAAAAATTTCCTCCAATTTCTGCACCAATCCAGATGCAGAATGAGTGGCAAAACCCATTGAGACTTTAATATCCTATCGTTCAACGTTCGTGCAGTAACAATGACGCACAGAGAGACGGGCAGATCCTATTCTACTACAAAGACAACAATCACTACATCAACAAAAATAAAAGCCTTGATTCCAGTCTAATCAGCACAGGAGAAATCCACAAATGGACTAGTGATACGTTGGAGGCTGTAACATGATTTTAATAGAATTAGAAAATTGGAGGATAGTACACTTACCACTAAAAGCACTCTGTACACTATCATCCCAATGCACTCAGACAGAGAATGTCATCATAATGAAATATTAGGAGCACTGATCGTCTGCATCAGTAAGTTGTTTATATATGATTTAGAATGGCACATGTCACACAGGCAACTCATCTTGCATTTTTTGTGTCAATTACAGCACTACTCGCCTGCCTATACATTACAATATTCAGCTCATGCCATAACACACTTGATATTACAATTGTCATAAAACTATTTTGTTGCTAAAATGGAGAAAATAATAATAATCCTGGCATTTGATATAACGCCTTATCATGTCTTCGAGACGCCTCAAAGCGCTTCACAGAATATACTGTATATATTTTGTATATATCTTGAAAAAGATATATAGCCACTGGAAGCCAGTTGTTCCAGCAGCTATTTTCCTTCAATTTAATCTAATCTAATCCAATCACTAGAGAAAATCATTCCACTGAAGAAATATTCTCCAAGAAATCAAACTGCTTCCATGTTCTGGAGACAAACTAACCAATTAAAATAAGTCCAACACACAGCTATAAAGGCGAAGGATTATTGTACTGTTTTAAGAAATAATTGTTTCTATGAATTCTTGAGTCCTTTTAATATGTATTACAAGGACGCAACACATCAATGCAATTCACAATAAGTGATTCTATTTATATGCTCTGACTTATTAGTAAAAGTATAATATAATTGTCTGGCTTGTTATTTGAGCTGCTTAACCCCCATATTCAGTAATTTGTCTTTGTCTTACTGAAGCTATGGTAAATCTTATTAAGCGGTACAAAGAACAAAATAGCATAAATAAGTAATGTTTTATTCCAATACATGTTTTTAGGACTTGAGTACAATAGTTGTTTGTATAACTGTCTCTCTCTAGATCCACACTGGAAACCAATTTTAATCTAAAATACTCTCCTTTGCAAATACATACCTTAAGGTTTGCTATTAATCAGAACATTTCCTTAAGATCTTTTAATGTAGGTTCATTAGCATATAGAAAGTATACCACATAACGTCAATAGCATCATTCTGTAAAATACAGAGCCATTTTGCTAAATATGATTGATGGTGACCCAGTAAGACATTTGATCATTGTGTATAATATTATGTAAATCTGTCAGTTGAGTTTTTTCTGCTGAAATTCCTGACTTTATCGAACAGTGAGAGAAGTTAAAATTCACTGTGAGAAGTACAATGTATTCTGTAGTGCGATGCAGCAGCCAATTTGCACGAGTTGAAAAGATATAGCAATGAGCAAAGGCTGGCAAGGATAGAACTCTTTTCGTTGGACTAGAGAAAGTTGAGGGGGTAAGAGAGTTGTTTAATAATAATAATCCTTGCATTTGATACAGCACCTTATCTTCAGAATAAACAGCGTTTAACCCTGTAACTTTCGTGTAGGAGTGAGCGATTACATAAAAGTACTTAGCATTGCATGTGTAGCTGAATGGTAAATTTCAGTATCATATCATGAGTATGTATACCTCGTAGGCAAGAGAAAAAGCACACTGCCCTTTCACCACTAGACCCTAGGTTTAAAACCAATCCAGGATATTGGTGTGAAAATCCCTACCAGTACTTATGGATTCTTAACCCAATTTTTAGTAGGTATGGGCCCACAGCACAAACCTCCTCGCAATTCAATACAATTTGATATAAGATTCACTCAGCAAGGTCCGTGCAACAAGAAGTTGCATTTATGTGGTGCCTTTCACGTCAGGAAGACTTCCCAAGGCATGGTACATTGTTATTGTGAGAAGCTTGACATTTTTTTACCTGTCCACAAGGAGATACTCTTCTGAATTATTAATCGAGATTATAAGAGCAGAGCAGAGTGACAGGTCTACAAGATACTGGCATTACCTTGAGTTACCTAATATCCTGCACTCCAATAATAATAATAATCCTTGCATTTGATATAGCTCTGTTTTGGAGATGTCACAAAGCCCTTCACAGACTATACTGTAAAGTGAATTGACTGTATATTTNGTGGGCAAAACATGGCAGCCATTGCGCACAGCAGTGTCTGTCCCACAAACAGTCATGGATTGAGTGACTGGATTTTTTATTTTTGAAGTGATTATTACCAACAGAAAAGCGATCCCCACCATCATCTGTTGGAATAAATTCTTCCAGTCTATAATCAAATGGCTGCCAAATGCGTTTCATAGCATTTCATTCACTTGATAGATAAGCAGCATCATATTGGCTCAAGATATTTAATGAATTATTAATAATCAAATAGAAATTATTTTTCTTCACATCTGCTAATGGATTGTATACTTTGTAGGTGAAACAAGGCAGCCAATTGCACATATCAGTGTACACGTTTGCTATTGCTTGTTCCGGTACGCATTATCTTAACTAAATCCATTCGAACGTTCCTTCCGCCATCTGTTCCAGATCTTCACGTATCCCATCCATCCTCCTTACATTATTCAGTTGACCAGTGATGCATCTTCAGCAAATATTACGACTGCACTCCTCCAACTTGTTTATGAATAGTGCGCACAGCTTAGGAGCCAAACATTGCAAATCTCTGCTTATCACTGCCCACAGATGGATCGTTTCACATTTATCTTCCACTCGCGCTTCTATTGCTCAGACATTTTACAACCCATTAATTCTCCCAGTTTTACTCTTCATTAAAAGTCCCACATGTAAGACTTATCAATTGCCTTCTGAACATCCCAGTAAATTATATCCACCAGATAGCCCTTGTTCACTCAGTCAGTTACTTTCTCAAAAGATTGCAGGAGAATATTAGGTATGACCTATTGGTTTGTGGAGTCCTGTAGCATGTTGGTGAGCGAGAGGACCCAGGTTTGATTCCCGGGCAGGGCAAAACGTTGGGCAAGTTTCCTTACTCCGTACGTCTCTGATTAGTAAATAGGAGCCCAGTTGTTTTTCAATTGGCAGATCGCTTTTCCAGGGGTAATAATCCCTTCAAAATGACGCTGCTGTGCGCAATTGGGAGCCGTGTTTTGCCCACAAAATATACAGTCAATTCACTTTACAGTATATTCTGAGAAGCGCTTTGGGACATCTCGAGGACGTGATAAAGTGCTGCCGGGAATTGAAACCAGGTCCTCTGGCTCATGAGGCGAGTGCTCTAACCAATGCATTACAAGACTCAGAAGGAGTTCACCAGCTATCATGGCGAGTCCTGGTGTAGCCATATTTCTACAGCACTGACCTGCTGCTGGGATATTCCAGCCTCAATGGCACTCTTATAATAATCCTTGCATTTCCAGCTTCAACCACTTATTACCTGTTATTATGTGGCACAGTTTAAAAATATCCAGGACAGTCACCACCATATCGCTCAAACACACCTCCTGACTGATATGCCCAGCGCTGAGATGCGAAGAAGCTACATTTAAACTCTGACTATCTGATCTATGCTTCGTGTGAGCAATAACAACAACTTCCATTTATACAGCTTGGAGCACTTTACAATGAACTATTTGCCTCCTAATGGTAAGGTTGTGTGTTTAAGTCAGCCAATCACTCATGTCTTCCGACTGCAGACTGCTGGATTTCACCCTCTCTTTGCTGGGCAGCTAGAGAGAGCGATTGAGAGAGACTGTATCTCCAGGGGGAAGTGATGTACAACTTATGCTGCTTTAACTGTGCCTCCTACTGACTGATCGATTTAAAACATTACTGAGCAGGCTCCTTGTTGTCTTACCTGAATCTAATTTGCACTACAGGACTTCTGCCAGTTGAAACAGCGAAGTTGGAAATACCATTGGAGGCTCCATGTCTCCACAGCATGTTAAGCCATCTCTGAACCTCAGCTCTCAGTATCACAGCAGATATCTTGCCGTGATTCAATCTGACTTTAGGCTAATGGTGAAAATGTCTCGTTACTCATTGCGCTAATTACTCAAAGTAAATGTTACCTCGACTTTATTGCATAAACGGCTTCCAAAAACAAGTACTTTAAGGAGAACAAGGTTAGAGATTCACAAAATGTACCACAAACATTTCTACCCGTTTTTTTCTCTCCTTCCAGCTTTTGATTCTAATCCACAACATGAAAACATTGCTGTAAAAGTACTTCAGCATTTCACAGAGATTAATTTGCATAACGTGCTAAATTTGTCTCTTATTTTTCACTCGACTCAGTCCTAGTTTTTCCTAACGTCAGTTTTTAACCATTGTGTCCTTGACAGCCTTATAAAATACAGAGCATTTTTTCCCACTGAAATTCAATGCACCACTATAGCATTTTTATTCAGCATCCAACATTGTAGATTGATTTTTAAGTGATTTCCCCCTAGTTTGTGTTTTAGTGTATGTCCCCCCAGTATGGTCATATCTTGTTGAAAGATTCCAGTTTAAATGTGTGAATTATTCCTTGATTTATATCTTAAAAGTACACTCTTTGTCCTACCGTCCTTCCGATAATAGATGACTTCCACTTTCCTCTCTTCAGAGCCGAGTAGAGCTTGTGCGATCTGGGCTACAGCGTGCCTTTTGCTCTCTGGGCCGTGTAGAAAGTCACACGTACAAGGCTTCTGCATCACATCGGGTCTCGAAAAGCCAGTCATCTCACAAAATCCATCATTGCAATAGATAATCGCACAGTTCTGTACCCTTGCATTGGCGATGATGAATTTCTTATCTGTTGGGAAACAAAATGATTTGGGGATGTTAATAAATACTGTAAAAATAATAATGATAATAATAGTCCTTGTATTTGATATAGCGGTTGATCACATCTGTGCGACGTCTCAAAGCGCTTCACAAGATCTACCTGTATCAAAATACAGCCCGTGTCATACTCAGTTGTATGTTTTTTTAAATAGGAATATGCTGTATAAATACAGAGGGACACACCTCCCTCTGAACACACATAGCAATATTTGCTGGGTTCTCTGCTACATTTACGGCACGTATTTTACATTGTTGATGGAGTCACACTAGAGTGGGTATTCCCTTGTTAAATGTTTCATAGAGTTGACGTGTTGAGCGAACTATGTGACCAAATGTCCTATCGGTCTCACTCATTGAACATGGGTTATAAATGAAAAGTTAGTCTTGAGGGAGTTATTATTATGGTCTCTAACAATCTTTGATGGAACACAGGTCCAATTGCCTCCGGTAGACTCATTGGAAGAAAGGGATACAACCATCTTCCCAGTTGCTGTCATTCCAGAGGGATTTTCCAGTTGGATTTGGTGATGATGGGATGACATGTGTAAGATATCTGGTGATATATTGATGGCTATGTGTCTTGTCTCTATAGGTGTTGATTCTCTGGAGCTATGGTGATGAGGGATACATCTGTATTCAAATAGAATTACAATGGAATGGAATACGGCAGAAGTCACCATTGGTGTTTGAAAGTAGCTTAGTTTATTCTTTGCTTCTGGTTATCAAGATTATTGGATGAAAATTCTTCGACTAAAGTACATTTCCTCTATGGCACTCTTGTATTTTACTCACTCTCCACGTAACGGCCTCTTTTACAGCTTATTTATCATGGCAGGTTTCATGCCAGAATTAGACTGGCATTTGGAGACATTTGGCACGTTTTGTACAGTATTCTACAGTCACACTGTGAGAGGTAGGTACCCTGCTGGTATGAGTTTAAACACAGTCCTGCATAAAGCCTTAGTTTGTAGGTTAATATTGCAACACGTCTTAGCTGCCTATGTGATGGTATCTCTCCTAGAAATCTGAATACGAGGAGTATATTTGATAAAACATCTTACGAATGTCAAACGGGTTTCAAACATTTTTTTTCTTAATTGTAATAAAAACTCGTGCTCTGCCACTGTCAAGCACTCGGGGACATTCCCCTGAGTGAAGGGCGCTGTGTAAATGCAAGATTACATTTATATAGCACCTTGGGACATCCTCCCGAGGTGAAAGGTGCTATACAAATGTAATCTTGTTGTTGTTGTTGTAAATATAAATATATAACTCACACTGGGGCTAGAGCTATCATTTCCTGGTTCAGACAAATTTTTAGGTCAAAGATTGACCTTATCACATCCGTTATGTAACTAGTCTGTCATCGCAATCTGATTTTAGGTTAGCTAAAGCTACACAGTCAGCCTTTAGCTATTGTTTTCAGCCAATTAATCCATTTGAGGTTTGAGGTGGGGGCGAGTGGGAAACAGTTCCCCAATTGGACAAGGAGAAAGAGAGAGACGAAAAGTAAAACGATTTTAAACATTGTAAAGTTAGGATAATTAGAAAGGGAACAATACAATGATAGAAAATAGTAAGAAATAAAGTTAGAGTTTGACAGTGACAGAAAGAGAAAGCAGGGCAGAGACGGTAAATAGCAGGGTAAAGGGGTTTAAAACCAAGCACAGTGACTATTATTATTTTAAATTGTGTTTGTAGTATTTCATTTAATATTTCAAGATTAGCGTGACAATAATAGAGTTATCTTGGAATGTTTGAGCAGCTTTACAATGGCGAGTTGTAGGTGTTTTTGTTTCCCAGCGCCTTGGGACGTCCTCCCGATGTGAAAGGCGCTATACAAATGTAATCCAGTTGTTGTTGTTTCAGTGTGAAAAGCTAGTCAGACCCTCAAGATAAGAGTTTAAATAAACCCGCAGGGAGTAAAGGGTTAAGAGACCCAGCGATAAGGACAGCGACTGTGCACATTCAACAATTACACTGTACATTCATTATCCATAGTGATGGGAACAGCAGCCAGACAGGGTACTGTCAGTGCAAATGGAACCATAGCAATAAAAACTAGATATAAAGCATGAATTTCTCAAATGGTATTGGACAAGCTTTATACATTTGCCACATAAACAGTAGTCACCTATTTACTGATATTGTTTGCCTGTCTCAACAAATATAAATTGTTGTCTGGTTTATAATAATAATATTAATCTTTGCATCTCATATAGTGCCTTATCATGTCAGAAAGAATGTCTCAAAGCGCTTCACAGGATTTACCGTGAATGGAGTGACTGTATATTTGTAGTGAAATTTCCTACAAACGGTCGTGGAGTGAGTGACCAATTTTATTTGATGGATTGTTGGCCAGGACACCGGGAGAGAGAAACTTATGAATAGATTTTGTTGTAGTCATGCTTTCCAGATAGTTTGGACAACAAATCAACCGGGTTTTCACCTGGTTGTGAAGTTTGATAGTCCAATCAACATACAGCTCATTACATTTAACATTAGCATTAAAGTGTCCTCTGGTTGTTGAGTGCAGGGAATATCATATCAACAGTGATGGCCACAGGGAAAGTCAGGACATATATGTGTACTCTTGCTGAAGACAACAACATGGGCCCCAAACAGTGGTGCATTTTGTGGATTTGTTTCCACGTTGCTTTGTTCACATCTGGCACTTGCTTTAAACCCAGCCCAGAGGTTGAAAGTCTCCTCTCTCTCTCCCCCTCTCTCTCTGCTGATGATAAAGGCCCTGATCGTGAATGAGTCTAAGGCAGTTTCAACTCTTACAGTGGTAAAGCATGAAGCCACTGTGCAAAACTGTGACAACATGGGGATTTAAATCACCAGTTAGCACTAAATTTAGTACTAAAATCGTCACCTAGCAGCACATGACACATAACAGGGAGCACTGTTTTGAATGTTCACTTGGCATATTGGGGTCTTCAGCGCTTTGGGATGTCCTCCCGACGTGAAAGGTGCTCTATAAATGTAATTTTGTTGTTTGTTGTTGTTCAGAAGTACAGTAAGGCACGGTTCTATTGGATCGTTTGTAGCAGTCGCTTAAAGCAGCAGTTTGTTCAACATCGTCTAAAGATTATATATAAAACAGTAACCCCATGCCGATCCGAATTCTTTCTTCTTATTAAAAAAAACACAATATTTGACCTGCATTTAAATTTTATTCTAAAGAAAAACCCTAAAACAGTGCCCTAGGACACTCCAGTAAAAGCTAACATGTGGCATGTTTATATTTCTATATCTTTATATATATTTTGTGGGTTTTGCCCACAAAACACGCAGTCAATTCACTTTACAGTGTGTCCTGTGAAGTGTTTTGAGACTTCTCGGGGATGTGATGAGTCGCTGTATCAAATGCCAGGATTTTATTAGTAGTATTATGATTTAAAATAAGAAAACATTTTATTTTATTAGTGGCCTGCCTTAACCTAAAACATTGCTTGAAAAAACTACAATGCACATGTAGTTAATGTATAAGCAGAAGCCACCCCACACACTCACACTCCCTCCCTCCCTCCTTCACTTCCCTCACTCCCTCCCTCACTCCACACTGAGATTGAACAATATAGCAGCAAGTACATTGATCTACTTACTTTGACCCTCGAATTTCCGGATTATGGTCCCCAGGAAGGTGTTTTGAGGGGCTACATGCCCTCTCCGGACAGGCATGTTGGTGTTGGTGGTGGTGTTGGTGGTGCTGATGATGGGGATGGTTTGTTCCTGTTGCTAGCAGCCTGGGTGGATGGGTGGCTGGCTGGGTGGCTGGGTGGCTGGGTGGCTGGATGGGTGGATGGGTGGCTGGATGGGTGGCTGGATGGGTGGCTGGATGGGTGGCTGGGTGGCTGGATGGGTGGCTGGATGGGTGGATGGGTGGCTGGCTGGCTGGCTGGCTGGGTGGCTGGATGGATGGCTGGCTGGCTGGGTGGCTGGCTGGGTGGCTGGATGGCTGGCTGGCTGGGTGGCTGGCTGGCTGGCTGGATGGGTGGGTGGCTGGGTGGCTGGCTGGGTGGCTGGCTGGGTGGGTGGGTGGCTGGCTGGCTGGCTGGGTGGCTGGATGGGTGGCTGGCTGGATGGATGGGTGGCTTCTCTTCTCTTGCTTGTGTTGTTACTGCGTCTCCCTCTCCCAGACCATCCCTTTGTCACAAAGCATCATCAACAGCACCAGCACAGGCTCTCTCCTGCTCCCAAACATTTGCATCTCAGGGAGATCTGCTCAGCACCAGGTCAGAGGCTGGACAGTCAGCAAGGTCTCCATCCACCTCTCTGCTTTGTTGGTTGGAGCAAAAAAGCGTTGCAGAAAAATGTTAAAGGGAAACCCAGCTCTTTCAGGAGCCTGGAGAGGTGTTGCTGAATGGAAGGCAGAGGCAGCTGTGAATGCTGGTGACGCTCTCTCTCTCTCTCTCTCTGCCTCTCTCTGTCTGTCTCTGTGGCTCTCTCTGCTCCACACGCAGCTCTGATTACTCAAGCGTGTGTGTGTGTGTGTACACTGTGTGTGTGTGTGTGTGTGTGTACACTGTGTGTGTGTGTGTGCACTGTGTGTGTGTGTGTGTGTGTGCACTGTGTGTGTACAACTAAACCTTACACTTACTCATTCACTCACTGTTGTTCATCACAAGCACAGAAATTAAAGGGAAAAAAAAGATATAGGGAGAGAGGATACACACACACACTGTCTATCTATAATGGCCATACAGTCTATCTTACAGAAGCAATGCCACTTGGCTTTGTTAGCTCTCCAAGGTGCTGAAACACAACCTTATTAGGTACATGTAATGCTTTTTGGAGCAAAGTGTTTATTTTGTTAAATAAAAACAACAACTTACTTACACAATTCTCATCGCACGTCTCATAACTAATCAATGAACATCAGCTATTGAACGTAAAGTCATTAATCATGCAGACATGTCATGCACTTTCAAATTATTTATAAACCCAGGAAAACTGGACTTTGGTTTAACCCCTTCCATACTATACAGGGAGAGAAAGGAGAGAAATTCAACAAAGCTCAGAATAACTAATGCTAATGATAAACCCGGCAGCCAATTGCACACAGCAGCGTCCCCACAAACAGTCATGGATTGAGTGACCAAGTTATTATTATTAATATTTATGTTAATAGCCCCATTGCCTTGGTTTCTCCAAACTAAATGTGAGGTTCTCCGGGTATTAAAAGGGAATGGAGTTCGCAACAGCTTCAACTCATCAAAGACCTGGTTAGTGACAGATGTGGGTGTAAAAAAANTCCGGTTGGACGTTTTGCCCTTTCACCTACTCAATGTAAGTAATGTGCCAGACGTATAACTAGCGAAAGAAACGACAGCTTCAGATCTGCTATAGTTCATTTTATGTGGGATACAGCGAGGGAAATGTCAGTTGTCACGTGGCGAGAGCTGTTTGAATTCTATCACAATAAGAAATGACTCGGACTCCTCAGTTTTTTGTAATGGTGTGAAAGGAGGTTGTGCAGGCTCATGTCAGTAACTGTGAGTGGATTCAGGAATGTGAGGCCACTTTAAGACTTAGATGATCCAAATACTGTAAGTGTTAAGTGCTGTTAGACTCCCATTTCTCCCTTAATAATAATAATAATAATAATCCTTGCATTTGCTGCAGCGCCTTATCATGTCTTCGAGGCGTCTCAAAACGCTTCACAGAATATACTGTAAAGTGAATTGACTGTGCATTTCGGGGGCGAATAGGAGTGTTCCACAGTCGTGGATTGAGTGACCAAATTATTATTATTTTTTTTTTAAGGGATTATTACCCCCGGAAAAGCGATCTGCCAATCAACTGTAAAGTACCATATCATCAAGATCTATGAGAATAGTAACGAATGCCAAAATATCTAATTAAGTATTTTTCCTTTCTTCAGATAACTTGCTATGTATGAGTGATGTGTAGCAGATAATATCAGCATGAAAAAATAATCACAAATTCTCCTTTGGGGGTGAAGATGAGAAAATCTTGCTGACAAGAGCTGAAATACTATTTTTCAATGCTGGTTACTTTATCCCATTGTGGCTTTACAAGTAAATTGGAAAAAACAGTTTGCTCCTGTGACAAATTCTTATCCTATTTTACAGCCTCAAGTCTTGTCTCAGCATGTTCTTCATCTTGTAAAGTTTACCTTAGCTCAGTATAACATGTGCTCAGAGGTAGGTTTTACACAAGCCTTTAGCTTGCTTTTACAATGAAATATATTTCAACGGAAAAAAAAATAATAATTTGGTCACTCAATCCACAACTGTTCGTGGAACACTGCTGCGCACGATAAAATACAGAAAAAATCAACTTCAAAGTTAAGAGTGAATTTAACAACTTGCCAAATTCTGGGCACTTTGAAATAAACCACATGAATAGAATAAATCTGGACCTGAGTGTAATTCCTTCCCATTCGTGTTTCCCAATTTTATAATATATGTACATATATAATCTTTGCATTTGACATTGAAATGTCTCAAAGGATTTCAGTGTTTTTTTCACAAAATGTAGTGACTGTGTATTTGTTGACCAAACAGGAAGAAACTGTCTTGTCTTTTGGGAATAGTGTCCTGGGTTCTTTATTGCCCACCTGAACAGGCAGATGGGACCTTGGTTTAATATCTCGTCCAAAGAATGGCATCACTGACAATGCTCCATTAATGCATTAATGCTCCATTAATCCTAACGCTCCATTAATCCTAATGCTCCATTAATCTTATTGCTCCACTGGAGTGTCAGCCTGGACCATGAGATCAAAGTCCCCAATATAAGATTTATTTCCAATTTCCATTTTCTCTGCTTCCTCTCATGAAGATAATAAATGATGTTGAAGTCTGGTTCCATGGGCACCAGCTGCCCTTTGTGAGCCCTTTCACCAGTGTCTGTTTATCCGATGTTAATCTGGACTGTGATTGTTGGCAGGCTGTTCAAACATGGAAAGCGTCCAAATCCCCAAATGTGCACTGTCCGGAAGGGATAACGAGATAGCAATCACCAGTGGAAATACTGGCTCATTTTCCTCTTCTAAGTCCAAGGACATTCAGGATACCCCAGCTGAGATAACTCAGCTGTCCTCCCAGGTGAGATCAACTTACTCTAAAAATACACAGACCAAAGTCTGTTTAGTTCAGCACCATAGCACCATAGGAACAAGAGTTGGCTATTCAGCCCCTTGAGCTTGGTTCACCTGTTCTATTAGATCATGGCTGTTCTGTACCTCATCTCCAATTACTCGCCTTTGCCCCGTATCCCTTGATCCCTGACCCAGCAAACATTTATCCACCTCAGTCTTGAAAATTTGAATATTTATTCATCCATAATACTTATTGAGCCATAATATATTACATCTGAAGAGCCAGAGTATGTTGTCTGGAGGATTATAGCAATGTGGGTTTTCATCCCAAAAGCCGATCTCCAATTCAGCAAAAGATGAATAAAACTCATAATTCAATGGAACATATATTTAAATAAAACATAACTCAGTTCACTAATGTTAATGACCAGCCTGAGCTATGTAAACTAATTTAAGACTCATTGCTTCTAACCCCTCCCCCGATCCCCCATTCACTGAGTGGGAAGCGTTTTGAGATGTCTTGAAGACGTGATAAGGCGCTATATCAAACACAAAGATTATTATTATTATTTGTGCAAACTGGCTGCTGATATATATACATATATAATGTATGAATGTCTCTAATCGATTCCATCTGTGTTACTGCTTCATGTTTATTCACATGGGAAGATTCTAATTGCTGTTTAATACAAGGTTGAACTGCACCACACATCACACTTGTGTGAGTCAATGTTTCAGCCCATTGCACATTCTGTAACACTGCCTTTGCACGTTTTCTATAATCTTTCATTAATCTGCATACAATCAACAGAGGCATTCCTCGCACTTGGCCCCAGTCTGCAATGGCACCGCAAGGAAACCTGAGGGAACAGCAGTTTTATCTGCCATATGGGCTGTTTAATTGTTATCTATTGTGTGAATTGATTTACCTGCTAAATTGCAGTTTTTCAATTCCCCTGCAATATAAACCAACACAATCTACTGCTTATTTTATATGTGGAGCATCATACATTGACCACAGAAACAGATTTCTTAGGGCTATAACAAATGGTCACTCATTCAATGGTTGTGGGACATTGCTCTCCACAAAATTGGCTGTTGTGTTCAGCCACAAAACACACATTCACACCACATCACAGTCGTGGCGTGCTTTGAGGCAATATGATAAGGCGCTATATCAAATGCAAGGATTATTATTATTATTCTAAAGGTTTCAAAATTAAGGCTGAATTTTAAGAGTTTGCTCATCGCTGCTTGTTGTGAAATGCTAAGAAAATAAGGGCGAAGGTGAAATTTTTCCACCTGGAATCTCACCTCTGCCCGGCCCTGTTAACAAGATGAAAAGAGTTCTGCTCTTTATTGATACAAAGACAAAAGGAAACCAGAAACTAAAGTATAATCCTGTGGTTCGCTAAAAATAAATCAATGGCCACTTGAAAGTTTTGAATAGAAATCTTGGCACATTCAAGAGTGACATAAGTAGAATTCAGTTCACTGGCGTTAAGGTGAACGACTTTGTTCTGTACAAAAAGGGGAAATTGTCCATTTGGATGAATGTTGTGACATTGGATCATCAGTAACCAAGGAAAGCCTTCAGGTATGAATGGCTTCAATTACAACTTCTATTATTTCATTGTGAATAA